TGGCAGGGCCCCAGGGCCGGGCGACTCGCGCGGGGAATGCAGACCGGCCACGCGTGCCATAAAAACGGCCAGCCAGCTGCAGAAAAGAGCTGGCCTGCTATGAAGGCGGAACGGCTCCGGAGCTGGTTTCTCTCCAGCTCTCGTTTGAAGGTGTAGCGTCCCCTGCTTCCTCTGCCCCGAGCCGGGTGAGGACAGACCCACAACCCTGCTCCAGCGCCTCGTCCTGGGGCTGCCTGCCGATGGGGCTTTGTTTCTCAGTCCGCAGGTGTCGGCCACCGCCGTGCCCCTCGCAGCTGGCTGGCAAGCGCGGCTGGGCCTGGGCTCGGCTCCTGACGCGGTGCCCGCCTGGGGGAACGGAGCAGAGGATGTTCCCGAAGAAGCAGAGGCAGGCGGCAGGCGCAGACACGGAGCCGTCAGGCAGCCGTAAGCGGGGCCGGCAGGATGCGGAGGTGGCACCAGGAGTGGAGAGCCTGTCGGAGGCGGTGAAGCAGGCGCGGCGCAGAGCAGCCCTGTCCGTGCGCGAGTTCAAGTTCAACAAGAAGAGGGTGCGGCTGCTGTCCCAGGAGTCCCACTTGCAGGACGGGGCCCTCGGCATCCTGTACTGGATGTCCCGGGACCAGCGCGTGCAAGGTGACGCACCCGCGGGGACAAGGGGAGGGCAGAGCCGTGACCCCACCTTCCCCTCGGAGGCAAACCCAGATCTTGCCTGCTGGGGGTTGCAAAACAGGCCCTGGCTCCATGACCCGGCTGCTGCTTTGGAGTCTGGTGGGCAGAGCAGGGCTGACGGGGGATTTTGCTCTGCTGTTGCTGAGCCCTGCATATGCAGGGCCAGCATTATTGCCCTTTTCCAGATGGGAAAACTGAGGCATGGGGCTGGTCATCCCCCCCCCCCCCCCCCCCCCTCCCCCCCCCGGCGCGACAGGGGTTCACCCCCCCCCCCCAACCTCCTGCCACTCAAGGTCAAGACCCTGAGTCTGCTGGCAGGAGCTGGGGGACGAGGTATGGGGCACGGGTGCATTTAACTCGTTGCGGGCTGTCTCCCTCCAGATAACTGGGCCTTCCTGTACGCCCAGCGCCTGGCCCTGAAGCAGCAGCTCCCTCTGCACGTCTGCTTCTGCCTGGTGCCCAAGTTCCTGGACGCTACCATCCGCCACTTCGGCTTCCTGCTAAAAGGCCTGCAGGAGGTGGCCGAGGTACGGGTCCCGGGAGACGGCTCGGAGCTGGCAGGGCGCACCCCCTGGGAAAGGGATCGCCCACCCGGAGGGGCTGACACGAAGCCTTGTCCCCCTATTGCAGGAGTGCGGGGAGCTGGGCATCCCCTTCCACCTGCTCCAGGGCTACGCCAAGGACGTGCTGCCAGCCTTCGTGACGAGGCACGGCATCGGTGGGGTGGTCACCGACTTCTCCCCGCTCCGCGTCCCCTTGCAGTGGGTGGAAGACGTCAAGGAGAGGCTCCCGCAGGGTGTGCCGCTGGTACAGGTGTGTCCTGGTCCCGGGGGACGTGAGCAGCACTGGGGGGGGTCTGAACAGAGGGAACCACCCTGGACTGGCACATGGGCTGCAGGCAGGGCTCCTTGGAGAGCTGTCAGGTTGTCGGGGGCTTTATGTACAGTAGCAGGTCCGGATCCATAACAAGGGCCAGGGGCAGGAGGGAAATGCAGGGAACCAGCCCCTTTTCCAGGAGCCGGGTGCTGCTGTGCTCCTGGAAAAGCCGCTGCGGAGGGGAGCTGAGCCCAGGCAGCGGGGGGACCTGTGGCACGGGCTGCGGGGATGGAGCTAGTGCTTGCTATTGCATGGAAGGATTTGGAGCACCAAGAAGCAGGTGCAAGGACGAGTGGGACGTGGGCAGTGCAATGTGGAGGGGCTTTTGTCCTGGTTCTTAGGAAGCAGGTGAGCTCCGGAGATGGTTGTACGCCCCAAACCTCCATCCACCTGGATCCCACAGCTCCCTCCGCCCCCCCCAGACAGCTCGGTTACCCTTCCGGCTCCCCCGTTCTGTTTAGCGGGCAGCTGCCAGCTCCTTTCCCATCTCTGCCCCGCTCCCAGGTGGACGCTCACAACATCGTTCCCTGCTGGGTGGCCTCCAACAAGCAGGAGTACGGCGCCAGGACCATCCGGCCGAAGATCCATGCCCAGCTCCCCGAGTTCCTCACGGAGTTCCCCCCTATCATCCAGCACCCGTTCCCCGCCGCGGCCCCTGCGCAGGTAGGAGCCCCACGGGATTCCTCGGGGGCGCGGATCGGGAGTCCTGGGAGGGAGACGTCGGGTGCGAAGTGGCATAGACTGGCTAAGCACCAGCACAGCCAGGGATGGTGTGGGCCTGACCCTACCCAGCCCAGTGTCTCTCACTGCATAGCACATGGCCCTGGAGACACTGAGCTTCACCGAGGCCAGCAGGAGTGCAAACCATCTCTGTTTCCCAACGGGAGGCGACACTGAAGCATGCCAGGGGGTCAGTGGCTCAGGTCGCATCCAAATAGCAGCAGAGCTGGGAGCCAAACCCAGGTCTCATGTCTCCCAGGACGCTGGTATTGCAGGCCCTGGCTCTGTAACCCAAAGCAGACAGAAGAGCTACTGGGGGCAGACAGAGCAAGGCCTGGCTGGCTGGAACCACCCCCACCAGCTGTAGCAGCCTGTCCTGAGATGCGCTGGAATTTATTTTTTAAGGAAAACTTTTCATGTCAAATCAGCCAAATCCATTCCAAATCCGTGAGTCATTCAAGAAGCATGTGTGGCCCTGCTGCCAGCAAGCATCCTCCCCCCATGCCTGGGGCTTCACATGCTTCCAAATCTATTGGCAGGCATCCTACGTGCTTGGAGGTTGGGGGTTCAGATGCCCTGAGTTTTGCTTGCCCTCAGCCATACGGCTGCAGGAGCAAGCTAGGGAGGAATCTCCCATTTCCATAAAGTCGGTGTATAGCCATGATCTTCCCACGGGAAGTGGGAGGCTAACTGTGCATTACTTCGGTCACGGTACTGCTCCCTGCCACATTCGTGGTCTTCCCCAGCCAGTGGGAAAACCACCTTGGTGGTCCTGATACTTCCCCTGCCCTGCCAGCTAAGTATTGTAATCGCCTGCAGTTGCCCCCCCTGCCCTTGTCCCTGCAGCCCATAGACTGGGACGCCTGCTACGCCGGCCTGGAGGTGGACCGCACGGTACCGGAGGTGAAGTGGGCGACGCCGGGGACAGCCGCGGGTCTGGCGGTGCTGCAGGCATTCGTTGCCCGGCGGCTGCCGGGGTACAGCGAGTACCGCAACAACCCCAACAAGGCCGCGCTCAGCAACCTCTCGCCCTGGTTCCACTTCGGTGAGAAGCCCCAGGGCGGTCGACTTGAACCTGGGTGGTTTTAGAGCTGCGGGTGGGACTGGATAGGGCTGGGAGCTGTCTCCTCCCAGTCCAGGAGCTTCCCCGGGGGAGCTGCAGCTGCCAGCTGATCAGGTGGTGAGTTGGGCTGAGGTCAGGACAGGCACCATCCTGCACAAGACGGGGGCACTGGAGGGCCTGGCATTGCTCCCATACCCAGCCCAGGCCGGTACCCCCCTCCCCTTTGATCCCAGGACCAGAGGCCTCATGCCCATGCCCTCCTCTCTGGTGCAGGCCAGGTGTCCGTGCAGCGCGCTGTCCTGGAGGTGCAGAAGTCCCGCGACCGCCACCGGGAGTCTGTCAACAGCTTCGTGGAGGAGGCCGTGATCCGACGAGAGCTGGCGGACAACTTCTGCTTCTACAACAAAAGCTACGACCAGCTGGAAGGTACCGCGGGAGCCAGGCCAGATGGGGGCCGGGGCACGGGCCGAGCATCCCACCATGCCCACGGCCTGGAGGAGCAGGGGCAACACTGGGTGCGCCTTGGGAAGGGAAAGGGTCCGGAGCGGTGCTGAGCCTTGGGGGAGAGCGGTATCTCCTGCAGGAGGGGCCGTCTGCTGGCCCCAGGGGCACAGGCGCTTTCCTGGAAGCGGTGCTGGCTGAGTCCATGCTCTGAAAACACCTGGACCCTGGGCTTTGGAGAGCTCTGACTCGCTCCCTGCCGCGGGGTCCATGTAGCCGGGCTTCAACTGCTCTCGCCCTGGGCTCTGCTTTCTCCTGCTGGAGGGTGAGCCCTAGCAAGGGTTATCGCAGCATTGCTCGGGGCACGTGGGTGTCCAGAGTCCTCCTCGGGGTAGGTCTGAGATGTGCTGGCACGGTTTGGGGCAAAGGGGAGCTTGCCACTGCCTGCTGGTACAGCTCAAGGCCCTGGAGCTGGCTGCCAACCCCCAGCCTGGGTGAGTCCCGCTGCGCCACGTGCTCCGTCGCTTACCTGGGCTTGGCCCTTGTCTTCGAAGGTGCACATGACTGGGCCAGAGACACGCTGATACTCCACGCCAGAGACAAGCGGGAGTATCTCTATGACCTGCAGCAGCTGGAGGAGGGGAAGACGCACGACCAGCTCTGGAACGCGGCCCAGGTACCGGCCTGCTCCAGCCGCCTGCGCCCCGCTCTCGGAGCTGCGCCACCTCGTGCCCCCCTCTGCCCTTCCCGGTGTGTCTGCACCCAGCATGTGTCTACACCCAGAGCCCATGTCCCAGTGGGCCCTGCAACACAGAGCTGGGGATCACAGTATCACTGAGCCTGGTCTGAGAGGGTCTGTGGTGCCCGTGGGCAGCACGATTGGTGGGTTTGGTTCAAAGAGCCTGTTCTTTGGGTACAGACATGGCACATCCCTCACC